TGACCCTCTAATCACACTCAGACCACCGTCTGCCACCAGCACTGGGGATGAGTGACCCTCTAATCACACTCAGACCACCGTCTGCCACCAGCACTCGGGATGAGTGACCCTCTAATCACAATCAGGCCACCGTCTGCCACCAGCACTGGGGGTCAGCGGCCCATCAGGCTTAGGATTCTTCTCAGCTCTCATGGGGCCCAAAAGAGTGATGGTCACTGGATAACACAAGGTGAAGAGCAAGCAGCAACCTGGCAGTGAGCACCTGCACTCCCCGTCCACCCACAGCCACAGACAGCCCTCTCCCCACTGCCTTCACTCATGGGCTCCCTGTGGAGACCCACAGGCCAGGGCCAGCTGACCAGGCCCTGCACCTTCCTTAGCAGGACCTCCTCCACTAGCAGCTACTGCTTTTCTTTGCAGTCCAACCCCATGGTGCGTGGAGAGCACAGGCTCCTCCACACCTCAGCACTGAGTCCCCACAACCCAGCCTAGGCCTGCCACGACCCCACTCTGAAGGAGGAACACAGCCCGGTCACTCACCTCCTGCAGTCCTCACAGACAGCTAGCTGCACTCTGCTCAGCCAGGCTGCAGCAGGGTTCTGAGCCTTGGCACTGACACCTGGGCTGACCATGAGTGTGGGGCTCCCTGTATGTCAGGGTGTTCTGCAGCATCCCTGGCCTCTGTCCACAGATCCTAGCAGCACCCTACAYCAGGGTCATGGCAACCAGTATGTCTCCCAAGACTTCCAGATGTCCTAAGGATCAAGGTCACCCCCAGGTGAACACTGTGGCCTTGAAGGATTCTCACATACATGAGAAGAATGAGGCCAAGCATCAGAGGGGTATCATGTGACTAATCAAATGCCACCAAGCAGACCCAAGGTGCTTTCTGTAGCACCAATCCTYGCAGTACCCTTAGGAAAAGCAACAGAGAACCTTCTAGGAGGCCCTAGTCCTCTGGGCCCCTCTGAGCACTCGCACCATCAATGCCAGGCTTCTACCTCAGAGTTTGCCTCACCCCATTTCCAGCATGTCACACTGCTCCTCACACCCCTGTTCCCCAGGGTGACGTCCACACCCTGGGCATCTGAGGAGCCCTCTGGAACAAATCCACAAGCAGTCCTGGGCCTGCGCTCTTCTCCTCTGGTCCTCAGAACCTGTTGTCACGCAGTGGGGTATGACTGYCTAAGCCTGCTCCCCAGCCCCTCCCGAGCCAGCACTCTCCAGACCATCACTCTGGCAGCATTAGCAACAGGTCAGAGAATCAGGCCTGGAGTGACCACCAGGAGCTGGCAGAAAGCCAACATGACTGAGCTGGAAGGACGGGTCTTCAGAGACAAGTGCTGGTGCTCTGCGGGCCTGCAGAAGCCATGCACAATCCCAGAACACATCACCAGCAGCGCCTTTCATTCTGCTATACACTGAATGCAACTGAGTAGCAATGAGATGTTTTGGATTAAAAACAGGAGTATTTTTATGGAGACTTGCTACTTGTTTTCATAAAATAAAGTGCTATGATGTACTATGGCCTTGATTTTACCTTTATCACCACAGGACATATACAAGGACTCTTCAGCCAGCAGGCCCTCCTCCACTCCCTCATGGTATTAGCACTGACATTTTAAGACACGAAAAATCAAATCAAATTTGCAAGTACTGAGTCCCATTTTAAAAGTGGCCTTTTATTAGGATAGAACAGTGCCTCCCACAAAACCTGGTGACAGACCACACCAGGGCATCCTGTGCGGTCTGAATGACTTTTTCATTAGAAGACCTGTGTTAGAATGAAAAACACTGAGAAAGTCCAAGTGAAGCTCCCAAGGCTTGGACAAGGTGCATGTCCCCTGACAGGTCCAGGCCCTGCTCCCCATCCTTCGTCACAGCTGCTCCTCTTTGTCCTCAGATGTGCTGCTCTCAGGCTCCTCTTCCTCTTCCTGCTCCTCCTCCTCCCGAGCCAAGAGCTTTTTAAAAACCTCAAACTCTTCAGCAGAAGAACAGGCTGTTTTGGCCAAAAACTCACTTTCTGACACTCTGAGAATGTCCTTAAGCAAAGGGTTAGTGATTTGCGTCTGCCCCTTCTTGTCAGGGGTTTGGTACCGTCCTAGGCGCTCCAGGTAGCTGTGTCTCTGCTTGATCTTGTTTACTGAGTACTGAAGGAAGTCAGTCCTCACTATGTCCAGGTGCTTGACTCCCATCCTAAAGTATGCATACTGGGAGACACACACAGTGAGGGCTCCTCCCCACACACTCTACAACCACACTCTAAGAGCACTGAGAAAGAAAGGCCTGACTAATAACAGCAGAGACTCACTACTATACTGACACTTGTGTGGAAACTGATGGTTTTCAAAGCGTTTTCAAAATCTAATACTGAGAAAAACGCAGCAGAAAGTAAATTAGTGGGGAAGAAATAACACTGTTCTTGACAAACCCAGGAGGAGGCCATAGGCGTGGAGGACCATGATTGTGGAAAGTGCAGGCAAGACTCAGAAAGCACCCAGGAATCCGACCCAAGTTGTCATACCTTACTCAAACATTAGGCCAATTATCATAATTACATTTTCAAAATCAACTGCAAAAATATGTTCTAAGGAAAGGAAAGTTTCAGTTGTTTCATAGCTGTTTTGGATACCCACCTAGGACTCAGAGAATGGAACTGTCATTATTATGGAAGAAATAGAGCTGGTCTGACCTGGAAAGGAGGAATAACAGAACCAGCAGCATGTTTCCTGGGACCAAGGATGTCATGGAGAGGCCCTTCCCCTCGTCCACTCAGAGGCTCCCTACACACAGAACCAACCTCACTACACCCAAAACCCTTGCCCTTCCTGCTGGCTGCTGCAGCTGTGCGTACCTGGAATTTGTATTCCAATTCACTGGGGTCCTCCTGAAGAACACCGGGGCATCTGTGCAAAATCTCAGTGACCTGCTGAGCTGTGAAAAGGCACTTCTCCTTGAGCAACTTGACAATGTCATCAATGTCCTGCTGACGCATGGTGAAGACCTCAGGGCAACCGTGGAGCATCCGCCTTAGTTTTCCTGAAGAACATGAAGAAAAGGACAGCACATAATTTCACGGTATGCCGGAACCCAAGGACTAGCTCCAACAGCCCTGACCRAAGCCTGCAGGAGAAAAAGGAGGAAGGTCCTTCCCCAGAGCATGAGTGCTTGTTCCAGCTCACCACAGAAATGACTTCTAGACTCACAGCCCACCCCACCTCCCCACCTGTTTCTGGCTTCCCATCTGAAGGCGCTAGCTTCATGTTCTAGGTCTCCTCTTGCCCTCCTCACCTAGAAAAGAATTTTACAGGGTTTCACCAGGAAGATCAGACAGCAAGATGGGAAACTGGCTTCCCCAGGGTGGGACTACAGACTGTGGTTTCTCTCTTTAATAAAACCATCACTGAAGCACTGTCYACCAGCACTCTCAAGACCTGGGAGTTGGACCTCAATGAAAATGCTTCTATAACAATAATGATGATGTTGAGAACACAAGAAAGATGTTCCCAATACACAACCACAAACACCAGTGCCCTAACAGGGTGACCATGTGTTCTATCCAAACCAGGTCACCTGGGAGTGAGAGAGGCCTTGAGAGTAATTGCATTAAGATGACTTGTAGAGAGGGGCACAGCAGCACCTGTCATCCCAGCAACTCAAGAAGCTGAGGCAGGAAGACGGTAAGTTCCACACTAGCATCAGCAATTTAGAGAGGCCCTATCTCAAAATAAAAAAATAAAAAGRTCTGGGGATGTGGCTCAGTGGTAAAGCACCCTGGGTTCAGTCCCCAGGACCACACACAAAGGTAGATGGTCTAAATTGGGACTATCCCAGGCAAACTAGGGTATATGGTCTTCACAGGAAACACTCAGGAAAATTCAATAACTAGAAACGGAAAGTCACTTTCTTTAAACATTTCAGTTTCCCAAACACTGTCTTACTAAAAAGTGGGAAATGGATTTGGGAGTTTAGGTGTTATCTTCATCTCTTATAGCTATGCTGAGTTGCTAATTAATAATCATAGCACATACCATATTAAATCTAGTATCTCGTATTACCCTTTAAGAGAATTATACGAGACTACCTTCTTGTTTATTTTCTGGACAAAGAATTCCATATAGACCCTAACAAATAATGGACCCAAAAATATTCCTTTTCAATTAAAAAAAAATTTCTAGGAAATGAAAAAAAATAATAATGGAACATCTMTGGTCAAAGTGGTTGGGGTCCTTGAAGCAGACAACATCCTCCTTCTCCAGAAGGTTCTTAAAGTGACCCAGAAAACTTCAAGGATCTCTGAGGTGTGAACACCACTGGAGGAGGGGGACAGCTATAGAAGACATTCTACCAGCTTTCCAGGAACCTGAAGGATCTCTCAGGTTCCCCTGGATTCTCSGTCTTTATAAGCGATGGTGTCCTCAGCCCTACAATACACAAAGCATAAAGAACACATCACATGGGCTTGCACGTCAGAGCCTCCACATATGCACACTCACGGAGAGGCCAGCACCACACAGCAAGAGTAACCTACTGAACACAGACCATGTGCCAACACTGTCCTGGAAGCAAGAGATCCTAGGTGAACACACCACACAAGGCCTGCCCTGGCCGCRGTTCTCACTTCTCCTCCTAATCTCCCCACATTCTTTCTGCAATGGCTTCTGCAAAGGCTGCAAACAGTCTCCCCTAGGGCACTGAACTCTCCCTCAGAAACCTTTCCTAAGCCATCACACCTTAAGCTCCTCCTTCCCCAACTCTGACTCTTCTCACACCACATAAAATCTGCACCCTGTACCTTCCCCAAGGCCCAGCTTTCGCAGGTAATCGGAGCGCTTCTTCATTTGTACGACTGGCAGTTTCAGTAACTGGGGACTCTTCTTCAAGACCACACACACAGGCTCGGGATTCAGACCCAGGAGTATCAATTCTGAAATGATGTCCAGCAACTGCTGAAGATTGGCACCTGGCAATGTGCTGAGCAAATCCTTGACATGGGCATCACTGAAACCCATGTCCAGGAGGGAACTGATGACCTTTTCTGCCTCTAACGACCCACTCTCCACAGGTGTGCTCTGCTTCTCAGGGAGGCACTGAACAGGATTAGTCCTGCACCCTGGTGGCTGCACAGAGTTTCTGGGTCCCACACGGAACGCCTCCTCCAGGCTCCCTCCATGGGAAGCGGTCGTCTGTTTAGTCCTTCCCCGTTCGGGGGCATGAGAAGTCCGCCTGGCCCAGCAGGCCCAGGAGAGTGGGACTAGGCGTCGCCCCCCGAGGACCTGTAAGACAGAAGCCACCTGCAAAGCCGGAACCGACCTCAGAGCCCCAGTCCCACCGAGGGTCGAGGACGCCGGCGCCCGCCAGGCTGCGGGGCTGCGCGGTAACCGCGGGAGCCGGGGAGGGAGCGGGAGCTGTCAAAGCCCCCGGGCATCACCTGCCTGAAAACCCCCAACCCGCCCCCCAGACCCCTGCCACCAGAGGACGACTCCGGGCCACGAGCCGGCCAGAGAGCCCAGGCACCCGCCACCTCCACGGCCAGGCAGGCCCCGCGCCCGGCACCCGCTCCCCAGGCCTGCCCGGCGCGGCTCCGCGACCCCGTGCCCGGTCCCCGTGGCGCCCTCACCTGCCGGCCAAGCGCAGCCATAGCGCCGAGGCGGCGCCGCAGCACAGGAAGCGAGGCCCGGCCSGGTCCGCCACTTCCGGTCCGCGGTCCGTCCCCCCCGCCCCCCCCAGCGCCAGCGCAGGTGCTCGGGGCGAAGGTTCCGCCGGGGCTCCCAAAGCCGGGAAGGCGTGCGGGCCGGAACGCACGGCCCAGAGCGAGACGGCGGCACCCGGGCGCTGCCTCCCGGAACACGGCCGCCCTCCCGGCGGGCCCTCGCCGCTCCAGACGTGCCCGGAGCCCAGCCGTGGGAACGAGAGCGCCATCTTCGAAGTCCCCGAGGATGAGCAGGACTTTTAAAGGACACGCAGGGCACCGCGTGGCCTGAGCTGGCCTGTGTTGGGCCTGAGCAGAGGCGGTTTCCACCGTCAGCCTCTGTGGTGCTGGTCAGGTGCATGGCGGCAGCAGGAAGCTGTTCCCCAGGCAGCCTTACTTTATAGGCATTTTTTGTTTTCTCGACTGACTAAAGGACTTAATTCTTGCAGGGATACCTGTTTGTGCCAGACACTGAGCTGGTGCTATTTATTTAAATGTGTCTTTTGACAGAAGAGGAAGATTGTGTAAAGCTAAAGAATTGGTTGCTTTTTAAAAAAAAAATCTAGTTTTCTTTAAATGCTCAACTGTTAACATCACAAAATAAATTGTTAGTGCTTTTACATCCAAAGCCAAAGGAAATCCTCTGAGTGTCCCCCAACCCCCAGGGAGGAATCAAGGAACCTGAGCACATCAGCACTCTAGAGAGTGATGTCTGGCTGCAGGGGTTACCATGAAAAATGGGCAGCATCTTCAGCGTTTTATGAAACTTTGCTTTCTTGAACCATACTTGAAACATGCAGAGGAACAACTGTCATCTGCAGCCTCAGAACTTCTCTCTCCAGATTCTTTCTGCAGAGAACATCTGCAAAGCCTCAGACCACCTACTGCCATCCAGCCAGATGTTTTCATTGCTTTTTCTTATTAAAACAATGCATTCTGTGATATCTTGTGCTTTATAACCATCATGAACACAGGGAAAACGTTTAATTCATGAAAACAGTATTTAGATCATCAGAAATCTCATTTTAATTCTGAAGCAAAAAAGGTCACTAACTCCTGGTAGCTGGAGACCCTCACGCAAACACAGAGATGGGGCYGGGTCTGCTGTAGGGCATCTGCAGAGTGTTAGCAGGCCACCCTGGGTCCTCAGCAGTCTCCTTGAGAGCTCAGACACCTGGCAGACCTGGCCCTGCTGAGCTGTGCTTAGAGAAGGGAAGTGTCTGAGGATGTTGCAACTCCCCAGGCATCTGAGGGGGAAAAGCTTCAGAGCCCAGGGCGGTGTCCAGCACCCTGTGAGACTGTCTCTCAGACTGACAGAGACTAGACTTCTCTCCAGCTGCAGCAAGCTGTGCATAAACAGAAAAACAAGGCAAGTCCTTCTCACACCAGGCCTGGTGGACAGTTCATAGAGTTCCCATTAGGGGGATCATTTATTAACAAAATGGCTTTAATTGGAAAGTATTCAAGGAAATAAATAAATGAACTAGTCTGGTTATTTGCTAACCGGTTCTATAGATTCCACACATCAATTTTCAGCTGATCACATACCAAGTCACAGGGAACAAAATTTGTATATATATACACACACACAAAAAAAATAGATAATTAAAACACTCTTCCCTTTATAAGCTCACAAATAAAAGAACTTTAATAAAGTAATCCTACATTACAATGCTTTCTCAGGGTTACAAAAAAAAAAAAAACACGGACTCCAAGTTTACTTTATAAACCTAAGAAAACAGTCACAGCTGCTCCCATTGTGGCACTTGTCCAGTTGTATGTGGGCTTTTAGAAGGTAAATGGGGCTTCATTCTTGAGAATTTACTTTAAGTAGACAGGACCTGAAATCTATGATCCTCCAACCTGAGTGAAGAAGAGCAGCAGGAGGTGTGTGTGTTCAGCCCACTGGTGGGGAGGGGTCCTCAGGACACAAGCAGCACTGGCCACTGGGGGACTCGCTGGGGGCAGGAAGCCTGCAGAGCCCCCGAGCCCGAGGCACGTCGCTCAGGCTCCTGTTGCCCAGCTCCAAACTTGCAGTGGACAGGAGGCTGCTCTCTGATGGGAGGAAAAAGACTTTGTGTCCCATGCCAACAATTGGAGATTTTATTTTGGGGGCGTGGGGGAAGTGGGGGTACTAGGGATTGAACCCAGGGGAACTTAAACACAGAGCCAATCCCCAGCTCTTTTTTTGAATATTTTATGTGAAGACAGAGTCCTGCTAAGTTGCTGAGGCTGGCTTTGAACTTACACTCCTTGTGCCTCAGCCTCCCAAGTCACTGGTGTGCGTCACCATGCCTGACAACGGAAGATTCTAAAACGCTTTCTCACTACAAGTCCGAGGAACAAGGAGGGGGAGGGAGACTTTGGAAAAACCACAGTCAGTGTTCTGGACAAGGTGCTGGGGGATTCTAAGCCCAGGGCCACTGGTGCCAACTTGGTCCACCTGCTCTGAGCAGTGGTTCTGGCTTGTACCAGAGCCTTGTCCCCATGATCCCCAGGGTATCACACATTGTTGGGTATGCAGCCAACACCAGTGCACTCCTCAGGCCCTGGCCCCCACTGCTCCTGCCAAGGGCTCTCCTGGGCACTTGCCCTCCCTCAAGGCCACAGCCATTCCCTGAACCCTGGTGACATCCAGTGGCCTCTGGCACAGAATCCATTCCTTTCTCACAGGCAGCTGCGAGGCCTGACATGTATCCAGGACAGCAAGGAGGAGGGGGCCTCCCCTGGCCAGATAGCCTGGGCACCTCCCCACACCAGGCRAGCTCTCACCTGGCTGGCTTATTCGACACACCTCTTCCCAGGTGTAAGCAGCCAGATTCACAGGCTGTGTTACCCACGGATCCRTCACCAGCTTCTCCAGAGTGGTGCGCTGCTCAGGGGCAGGCTGCAACAGCCCAGACACAAGGCTCATGAGTGCTGGAGATGAAGAAACACAGGTGGATCCAGGCTGGGGCTAGCAGAGCACATCTCAGACCCCCACAGAGGGGAGAGAGGTAGGAGGAAGAGGAGGCTGGGGCTCAGGCTGGGCCTGGAATGCCCAGGGAAGGCCTCCTGGGGAGAGAGACACCCCTAAAATGGGAGCCTGGAGCTTGAGACCCAACTCACTCGGACTCAGAGGCCTGGCGCCCCAGATGGCCTGCTGTCAGGAGCACAGCTCTGCAGGGCTGTGAGTACTCGCAGTGGACACAGAGGCTGGAGAGAGGCAGCTGGCCCCCAACTGGCCCCATGGGAAGAGCATGGACTCTGAGAGAAGCTGAAGCTTTGGCTCTAGATTTGGGTTCCATTTCCTCCAACAATGTGGGTGTCAGGGACACTCTGAACCTCACTGTCCCAGGGGAACCTTGTGAACCTGTGAGAACCCCTGGGACAACCTCTGTGGATGGAGCAGCATGCCACAGAGCTGTGACCTTAGCACAGCTCTAAAAATGCTCTGCTAGGTGCCCTAGCTGGGTGGTGTCCCCAAAACTGTGCATGTTGAAGTGGTGGGACCACCAGAGGYCATCAGGGTTAGCTGAGGCCCTGAGGTACAGGGTGAGCATCCCTATAAGAGGGGGAAAGGACGAGGYTTCCAATCCACAGAGGACACCTACAAGCCAGGAAAAGAGCCCTGACCAAGAACAGAACCCAGGGCACCTCGTCCTCAGATCTCCAGCTCCCAGACTGTGAGGAATCCATGTCTGCTGTTTGAGGGCCTATCTGCGGTGCAGTCACCCAGACAACAGTTTCTAACAAGGAAAGAATCCAGGCACAGATGTTGAGCACGAGGATGCTCTTGTCTTATAGACTTTAATGTGGGAATTGGGAACCCTGGTGTCCAGTCACCTGGCCAACACCTGACTGTTCCTGCCAGTCCCTGGGGCCCCTCCTGGTGTGGAAGCACTGAGCAGCCCACTCCAGGCTGGGGAGCCTTTCTGGCCACTGATCCCACATCTGCCTCACCACCCTGGTCCTCACTCCAGAGGCAAACAGCACGCAGCCTGAGGGGAGCTGAGCCCTCAGCCCTCACCCTGCTCTGGAAGGGGAGGCTCCAGGGTGAGCTGTCGGGGCCTAGTGCTTCCTCTGACCTACATGCCTGATCTTCCAGGTGCTGCTCAGAAAGGGTACAACTGTGAAGTCGATCACTGACAAAGGGCCTCTAACACCCAAGAGACACTAATAAGAACTAATCAYCCAGAGTTTTTTAAGTCTTCTTCAGATCACTCATCTGCCTGTGTGTGCACACGCACGCGTTACTAGGGGTTGAACCTAGGGTCTGTGCATGCTAGGCAAGTGCTCTGTTTTACAGGGTCTCACGAAGTTGCCCCAGACTGGCTCCTCCTGCCTCAGCCATGGTGTGCCACCATGCCCGACTCAAATTATTCTTATGTTCAGATCAAAGCACAGGAAATAGAAGAGGAAGGTAAATAAGATCACTGGTATGAGAGGAAACAGAAGCAAGAACTGACAGCAGCTCAGGACACGACATCTCCCCACCATCTGGGAATCCTGCTCACCCTTGGAAACAGGGCGTGGGGGGTGGATAGCTGCCTCCATGGTCTCCTCCACTTCACAGAAGGGATTCTCCTCGAAGATGAGTGTGTACAGTGTGACCCCCAGAGACCACATCTCCAGCTCCGGACCTCTGTAGCTGTGGGGAGGAGAGAGCATCTCAGGGCTTCATGGAATAGCACAAGCTTGCCCAGACCACCCACAGTGAGTACTGGGCCCTCTGCCACCAGCTAGGGTTTCCCTGCATGGGAAGGCCTTCAGGGGACCGCAAGCCGGGGGGAGGGCTTCCTGGAGAAGGTAGGGAGGTCAGGAGCGGCCTCACGAGGGGTCATCAGCACAGAGTGGTGTGCTTTGTAGAAAGACCACATGACAACGAGGTCAGGCTCAGAGCAGTGAGAACACAGGACAAGTGGACAGAGCAGGCAGAGGACAGCAGGACAGTAGGACAGGGTGGGGCCAGGAACTGGTCCAGATGGAAGAGGAAGACTGGGGAGGGGCAGGGCACTGTTATTTCCTGTTATCAYACAACCTCACGCATGCTGCCAGCTATACCAGGCCGTCAGGTGGTTGAACCCTAACCCTCCCAGCASCCTAGCAAGAGGAATGTCGTCCTCATTCTACACCAGAGCACACGGGGCTTGGCAAGGTAGARCAGCTGCCAAGCAGGCCCATGGCCCTGCACTGCCCTGTGCTGTYCCACGCTGCCCCAGGCCCTGAGTGTCAGTCTGTGAAGCTCAGAGCAGTCTGAACCAGGCACCAGCTGGGAAGCAACAGTGCCCACCAGAGCCACCATCAGACATGGAGCCCTGAGCAGCCACAGCATGAGAGGGGCCCAGGACAGGGCCTCTGCTGTCCAGGGACCACAGGAGCCTAGGCCATAAGGAGGCAGAAACCCAGGCAAGGGCAGCAGAGGCCACCACAGAGCGAGGGAAGGGGCGGCTGCAGGAAGCTAGAGCAGGTAGTCAAGTCAACGGCTTTGCCTTTATGTCATCTCATGGCAGAGATTTCAAGAATGTTGGAAAGAGTGGCACTGGGACTGGCCAAATGACACATGTTCTAGGCTCGCAGGCGTGTGGCCTTGTGCCAGCTACTCAGCTCTGCTCTGATGGCACAGAGCAGCCACAGAGGATGAGAAGGCGCATGTGCACATGGCCATGTTCTAATAAGACTTTTATTTGCAAAGCCAAGGGCAGGAGCTACTCGCTCACAGCCACAGGGTTCACAGTAGCCAGGTGGCGGCAGCAGCAAGCACCCACAGCAGCTGGTACCAGCCCACAAAAGGRAGACCGTGCCCCAGCGGCCACGTGAGGAACCTTGAGGACCTGATTCTGAGCCAGARAAGCCAGCAGTAGGAGGGCAAGCACCGCAGAATCCCACTCCTGGGAGTCCAGTCCCTAAAGGAAGCAGGTCTGTAGAGACAGAGGTAGGACACCAGATGCAGAGGCTGCAGAGGGTCGTGGGTGTTAGTGTTCAGGAAGATAAAGAGTTCTTTGGGGGACTGGGATTGTGGCTCAGAGGTAGAGCACTCGTCTAGCATGTGCAAGACCCTGGGTTCAATCCTCAGCGCCATATAAAAAAA